GCCCGGGGAAAGGTCTTCTTCACCGGCTCTGCCGGAAGCCCGGGGAAAGGTCTTCTTCCTCGGCTCTGCCGGAAGCCCGGGGAAAGGTCTTCTTCCTCGGCTCTGCCGGAAGCCCGGGGAAAGGTCTTCTTCCTCGGCTCTGCCGGAAGCCCGCGACGCGGCGGCGGGCGGGCGGCCGGACGCGGGGTCGGGGTCGCGCCCTGCCCGGCTCCATCGCCACGACCCCCGCCGCCGTGGCCTCTGCTGAGCGCGTCCCGCCGCGTCCTGCATCCTGCTGGAGATAAGCCGGGAGTAAAGTGTCTCAGCCATCAAGGGCGTTTGGGAGACGCTGCCTCCAGTGAGCCCTGTGGAGAGTGACTGGAGCGGGATCACCCACTTACCCCTGTTTGCCTCACAGTTCCCAAACCTGGTCTCCGAGTTCCTCAACACCTTACCTTCCAGTGACGATGTGCTCCAGCCCTGTTCCGCCACCCACTCCCATGGTTATATCCTAGCCTTGGGATGACTTGTTTTTCCTTCTACAGAACCCCTATTGATACTCTGCAGAAGTAGTCTTCTTTGGAACATGCTTCTGGAAGTGCAGGGTTTCAGTTCCAGTGTGACCACCAGCTGGCTGTCCTTCCCCTCCCTGAGCCTCTGGTTCCTCATCTTTAGTGACGTCACCATGCAGGGTTGCTGTGGGAACTGTGCATTAACACATGCTTGGCTTGTAACAGGTCCTCAATAAATGTTCATCCCTTCCCCCTCTTTGCCTAGCAGCTCCTTGTATACCTGGACATTGGAACTTAAATTGCAAACTCCATCTGTTAAAGGAACCATGCTCTTTACACATAACAGCTGATGGAAGGAACAGTCTATGGGGGTTTGGAAGCATGCATTGGTTTCTTTGCCAGCCCTCATATACTCCTGCTGTGACATCTTCTGCATCTCTCCCAGCACTCAGTACAGTGCCTGAGCCTTGGTGGGACCTGGGCAGACACTGGCTATGTACCTGGGTACTGCTGGGTTGCTCAGCCCCCCTTTGGCAGGACATACACTATGGGGTTGTGGACAGGGATGTGTGCTGGACGCTGCATGCTGGGCTCTTCACAGGACAGAAGGGTTCAGATAAAGGAGCCAGAGGGATGAAATCTGGAGAAATGATCTGCTGCTCCCTCTTGGTTATCTAAGTCATCGGGAGTGCTCTTCCCACGGGCTGGCAGGAATCACAAACAGCAGAGACCCAACTCGCTTTCTCTAAGGAACACCCCTGAAGTTCTGTTAGCCAAGGAAGGTCAGAGGAGTGCTGTCAACTGCCTGCCAGAGAGAGGACAGCGTATTAATTAAACCTAAAAATAAACTTCGATTGAAATTTCTCTTGTAGGTAGACAGAAGATAAATTGGCTAGGGCTAAGAATTTTTGAGGCCATCTCCCTTGCATTTAACTTTGACCCCTAAAACAACTCAGGTAAAAGAATGGTTTGGTGACAGGGAGGGAGTCAGATGTCTGCATTGCTTTAGTTCTGGTTCAACACATTTAGAGAGTTGGTAGTTAGTGGCAACATTTTTTTCCCTCTCTATTTAAACTCAAATGTTGTGTGGTCTTTGAGATTCAGAAAGAAGTTGATACATATGTACCCTTGAGCACAATCCCCCAATTAAATAAATAGATGTTATCTCAGGAACAAAACTTGTCTGATTTACTTTACAAGCTTGTTTTCTTTTTTTGTGCCCCCAAATATATAGCTTGGCATGCTAATCTTAAAACTGTTGTAACATTGAGTGTTCTGGAAAAGGAAATAGCAATAGTATTGGGTACCATAAGCCTATAGCCACTTACTAGAAGGTCAAGTCAACTGGCTTATTTTATATATGGGAGCCTAATTTTTGTAGTTCTGTAGGAGGAGGAAAAATAAAAAGGAAAGGCAGACCTGAGCATATGTGCTGTCTTCTGAGTTTTCTCTTTCTCATGGCCAAGACCTGTAAATGGCAAGATTGAGTTGATATTTGAACACAGGAAAAAGTTAGCTATCATCACCTGAGCTTACAAATGGTACTCTTCAATAAAAAGATTTGGACTCTATTTCAAGACAAACAGATTGAAATTCTCTTCAAATAAGCATTGTGGTTTAACATACCTTCAAAAGCAATATATCAATAATGGAGGTATAGAGTGAGTAGATGAAAATTCAATTAATGCTGTGAAGCAATTAAAATAATGGTATTTGAAGAGTTGTCTTTTGTGGCCAAAGTACTTTCTCCTTTACTCTTCTGTCCCAGAAATGTGTTATAAATTATGTTTTATTATTATGAAATATGACTGTTCTTACCCGTTAATTCATTACTTGGGTGGGAAAAGAGTGAAATCTCTGAACCAAAGAGAATATTAGAATCATGTTGTAGTACTCATGGGAATCAAGTTGCATTGACTAAGCTGTGGGAGGAGAAGAGAGAGGGATTTTAGTCTTAAAAACAGATATTCTTCAGAGACAGAGAAAGGGTGATGAACCACAGTATTTGGGAGCGAAAACTGCGTCACCTTTAGAGTCTTGAGTGATAAATGTGTGGTGAGAGGCAGAAGTGAATCAAGGGGTGAAAAATTCACAGAACAAAAAGGCTGATTTAAAAAAAAAAGGCAGGGGGAGTCGATGGGCTTAGTAGGTGGGCTGTATTATTGAAGACTTCTTTGTATATAATGATCTGAATCTAAGGGGTCTGCAAAATGTTCTTGGGGCTTAGACCCAAGAGAAGAGAGGGACCTGGGGAATTCCTGGGACAGCAGGTGTGCTCTGTGTTTTCGATGGGTCTTCCTAATTCAGCTTAAGGCTTCCGAGAGCAAAGCAGTCGCCGCAGCAGAAGTTACAGAGCTTTCTGCTTTAAGGTTCAGTGACTGTATGACTTCAGATTTGCTGTTTGTGTAGAAAAATGGGACAAGAAGGGAGGCTGCAAATTGAAGAATTCAAGAGAGAGAGAGAACATGTGATAGGAAAGGAGGGATGTATCTGAGATCCTGGAATTCCACTCACACTCAAGGGAAAAGAACACAGTACAAAGTAGGTGATCAAGTTAACTAACTGCATAAATATTTCTTTGCTTTTTCCTCCGGTTTAAAAGTCTAAATGGTGATGAATTAAAGGTGCAAACACTGGCTTTATCATGAGGTGAGAAAGATATGCAGGAGTAGCTCAAGTGAGAGTCTGAATTGGAACCCAAGGAATTCTATTCTATAAGACACAAGTATTCCAAACTCAAGAATAGTCTATCCTTAGTGAACAGTGGTGCAGATAATGACTGAAGACCCTTACATTTGGCCAGCTAAGGCCACAGAGTCCAGAAGATGGATAACAAGGTTCAAGACTTAACTGTGAGCTGCTTTGGTGCTCTGTGAGAACCAAACTCCTCTCCTGGGGAGTCCCCTGCCTCTGGGCTCCCACTGCGCCTTTTCCCAGCGCCTCCCTAAGGTGCCCTTGGACTCCATACTGGCAGGGGAGGGGCGTGGTGCTTTTGAATGCCCTGGGTACAGCAACTGCAAAATAATCAGCCCTTTAGGGCTGCCAAGACTGGCCTGCTCTGGGCATATTCTTGGTTATTATGATATTCAGAGAGGCTTTGTCTCTTCCCGGGTCTACTCAAAGTACCCTTTTCATATCACATCATATCACGTCATATCATAATCATAGTTTGGGGAATACTGAGACAGAGATGGAGGACTCCGAATCTTCCTGGGAAGCTGGAGCAGCAAGGGGTCCACACACGGTCAAGTCTCTTGTGGCTTCCCAAAATGTGGTGTGCCTCTGTTCTTTGCTCAGTGTCAGACCCTCTGCCTCGCTTGGCCCCTTATCTCTCTCTCAAGCTCCTACTCATCCTTCAAGGCCCTACTCAGAAGTGCCTTCCTCTCCGACAACTGCTGACTTAGGAAATGAATTCAGAAGTCCATACAAACCATCTTTGAAAACCCGCTTCACAGTGGGTTCAAGTTCAACAAAGTGAGACCTGAGCAGCACTGAAGCAGGTGAGTAGGGTCCAATGGAGAAACCATTTCTTATTTTTCAGTAAAATGGTAGACCTACTGCAAATATTTTCTATAGCAAATAAAATTATCTTTTTGGAAATTGCCAAATTTGTAAATTAATTCAAATTTTGAAACTTTGAAAATGCAGAAAAAAATATTTCTTTGCCTGTCTGACCCTGAACCAGTGATAGATCTGAGTGAGATATTTTGTTGCTGTTAATTTAAATTTGAAAACCTGTACTTCATAAAAACTATAACAGTAGAAATAGATAGTTTTAGTTCTTCCTCTTTAATATGGGAACAAAAGATAACTTTTGTGAGAGCAGGTCATAGGGCATGGTTGGGGGAGGCTGGAATTGTAAAATAGCCTCCAGATTCATTTAGATGCTAAAAACTGTTTACTAGGAAAAGATAATAACCAACTCTGTTCCTGGATCGAACGTGTAGATACCTCCAAAAATATGCACTCAGATAACTGTGGAAAGGAGAAGCTGGTAACGTGGTGCGGCTCAGCAACCCTTCCTCTTTATTACAAGGTTTTGCTCTGTTGGCTGCACAGATGTCTTTAATTTTTCTGGGTGTGTTTATATGTTTGCAGGTTTCTAGGGCTGTGCTCATGAATGGAGTACTTACTGAATTTATATGTAGCTTTCAGATAGTAAAAACTTGCTTAAGCTTCTTCCATTTGCCCCTAGCCTCAGCCTGGGTGTTGCCTGAGGAAACTTATTCCACTGTCTTAGTATCCTCTGGTTTTTTCTGACTCATGCCTCCTTATGCTACAACATTTAAAATATTTAAAAAGGGACAAATGGCATTTCTGGCCATAGTGGTAGGACCACGAGATGCAGGAATTGACCCAGTAGAGGTGATCCTCGAGGAAGCCACCGTAGGCTACCTCTACAAAGACAAATGCGACTTCTAAATCGAATTCAGAACATTTGGATGCTTGGGAGATTGTTCAGAGTTCTGGCTATTTTGTTCAATTTAAAAATTGGAGCTGTAATCAATAAGGGAAGAAGCGAGAGGTAGCTTGTTCTGGGCCTGTCACTCCCCAAGAGTGCAGGGACACTCACTTCTGTGCCCAGCGCTGCACAGCCCTGGGGAGACAGAGACACCTGGGTCAGGGACGCTGTTTCTAAGTGCAAGAGCTGTACGCTCAGGACAGAGAACGTGTCCATTTTGTTTATTGATTATTATCTAATAACTTCGTTTTCCTAAAATCTGATAGCTATATGGAGTTCCTGTTTTAGAAATCTTCTTTGTTAGTATAAAAGACTATCTAAAGTGAGAGGGGAAAAAACAGACGAAGTCTCTGACTTGTGACCGCATCTCTGAAGTACACTGCACCGTGTCATCGTGGGCCTGGATAGAAAGAATTGTTGAAATATTAGACCAAGGTGAACATTATGATATGCAGAAGAAAGTAGAGGCTGGATCTGTGAGAGAATGTTTTTTAACACTTAAATTTCCATATGATTCAAGCTTTTAATTGGTGAACAACTTAGGCTCAGAGAAAATAAGTAATTTTCCCAAGAACTAATACATGGGGGACTTAGAATTTGAATCCATGTTGGCATGATTGCAAAGTGTTACATTTCTACTGTGTCATGCTGCCTCCTGTTGTACCTTGTTTATATAAAAACAAAACAAAAACACATGACACACATACACACTCCTCCCACAAAACCTTAGTGATGTTGTGATAACAAAGAAAAGTATTTTAATATATTAATAATTATGAGAAGGAAGCAGAAGCATAACTATATGTGGACTTAATGATCTTCTATATGTTAGAACATTTAGAATGAAATCGATAAGAAATAGAAATAAAGAACTGCAAGTTTAGAAAGCGAATGTAGTTAATGTTCTCAGAATGGCCTTTAAATGTACCCTGTTTCATAAGTATGTCCAGAAACCTAAAAGCACAGATCTAATCTTCTTCTCACGAGGTCACCAGTGGTGATTTCAAAGCAGCAGCTCGGGCTGAGCTCCACTTGGAGAGACAAAGTTGAGACAGAATACATTCCTACTACCCATGACCCACTGCCTTCTCCAAAGCTGAGTCGGCCCTGATGACATCTTTGAAGCTGAGCTATTAATTTTAGCTTCTGAATTGATTAAATTTTATGACAAAACAGTGCAGCAAAGATATGAAAGCAAAAATTGAATCCTGGTTATCTTGCAAAGGCAACTAGATAAAGGTTCTTATAAACAAACCAATATAGATTGTATCCTCTTCCCCTTTATTCACTCTTCCTCCACAAAGATTCTCACTGACAGGAACAGAAAAGAAAGAGATAGAACTAGAAATTCATTTCTGAAATGCAACCCGAGCATCAGAGTGCTAATGAGCTTCCTGGGTGTCACTTGCTTTCTGTAGCCCCACGTTGTTAGGAGAACTTGCATGAGACAGCAGGTCCCCACGGAGTTCCGAGTCCCCTGTCCCCATGGGTAGGGCCTATTGGAGCCAGCTTCTCTGTATGGACCAGCTTGCTAGGTCCAGAAATAAAATCTCAAAAGCAGAATCCAGGCAAACCCCTTCAGTGTGGGCTTGGTCAGCAGTGTGAAGTAGAGCCCAGCGTGCCAGCATTCGAATCCAGGCCTTGTTACTCGTTAACCCCGTAATGGTGGACAAACTCTCCAGGAGCAGTTTCTTCACCTGCCAATGGAAAGAGTGTCAAGAGCGGTGAGCACTGGCATAGTGCACACTGCACCCTGGCGTGGAGTGAGGGGTGGGGCACGTGAGCCTTCAGTGTCCACCGCTCTGCTCCCCTGTCCTGTTCATGACCACATCAACACCAATACCATTAGTTTCCCAAGGCTGCCTTAGCAAAGTACCACAAACTGGGTGGCCTAAAACAACAAAAATGTATTTCCTTGCAGTTTTGGAGGCTAGAAGTCTAAAACCAAGGTGCCAGCAAGGCTGTGCTCTCTCTGTAAGCTCTAGAGCAACATTTATTCCATATCCTGCGTCTAGCTTCCAGCAACCCTTGGCGTTCCTTGGTGTGTGGCAGCATGACTCCAATCTCTGCCTCCTTTTTCACATGGCCATCTTCTTTCTGTGTGTCTGTGCCCAAATTTCTGTCCTTTTATAAAGGACACCAGTCATCAGATTAAGAGCCACCTTAATCTGGTACATTTTCCCCTTAACTTGATTACTGCTGCAAAGACCGTGTTTCCACCAAGGCCACAATCACAGGTCGTGGGGGATGGGACCTCAACAGATCTTCTTGGGGGACATGATTCAACCCACAACAAATATCACCTTTATTTTAGGCCAGAGGGAGCCTTGGCTTCTTCCTAGATCAGACGCAGTCTCTGAAGTTACCTGCTTTGCCAGCTGCTGTGTCTTCTCCTTCCTGCCCCTGAAAGGACACTGCAGATAGTACTAACAT